GAGGATATGACCTAACATAGGAAAGCCGTCTTATGTTTCTGTCTTATTTCATTGTAGAATTTCGATATGAAATATGACATAAACTTAAGGTGGGTACCTATATGATCGATGAACTGGCACTGATCGTCGCGAGGAGGACATATGTTCCCCTGAACACCAACAACAGAAAAGAAGAGAAAAGAAGAGAAGAGAAGTGCAAACACCGAAGTCTGTGAGTCTCACATTGCTGCATGTATGTTTTAGATTGCTAATTGCTTAAAAATTTCTAATTGATAGCTAAGTATTAACACTAGAACCAGTGGTAACAGAAGTTAATGTAAGCTTGGATGGCGAATTGTTAATTTCAATCTTAAACTTTTTTCATCTTGTAAACTTTACACGCAGCTAATAATTAGAACGCGAGAAAGGAAAGGTATTGGTGGTAGAAGGGTGAAAGAGAAACGGGACAGCGGATATCTGCAGAGTCAGTGGAGGAGTCGCAGGTTGGGCCAGGCAGACATGAAGCCTGAGGATCCAGGGGTGCTAAGCCCTGAATCCTGAAAAGTGTTCAGAGCTTACTCGGCTAGTGTTACCCTCCCCGCCTCCACCGTCCTCTTTTTCTTTCTCCTCTACGTAGTGTCTCCTCGAACAGAGGGTACACACCAAGGGTGTAAAGGTTGGCTAGATGGCTCCTCATCTTCATCCGCTTCTCGCATTCCACCCTTATTACGAGACGAACAACTTCGCATGAAAAAAAAAAACTCCATCGCTTTTCACTTTTCCTCTGTTTTCAAATTCTAACTAACGTGATATTTCTTTTTTAATTACTAGGTCACTGGTGATTGCCATGATACTCTAAGTATAATTTTTGACAAGCTTCGAGGCATATTATTCTTCTCGATCAAATTTAGGTAGATCTTCATCCGGCAACGCCGTATCTCGTGTCCTTTATCATTTGACCTCCTTCATGGGAAGCCACAAAAGTCGACGACGGTCTGTGCTGATAATATCCCCGTTAATTGTACCTTATATCCGCGATTACGTCAGCTTGAATCCATCAGCAATGAAATTTAAACAATTTTCCTAATCGCATGTTATCCTCATTATCAAAAATACACAATTTAGCAACTAATTTTTCTAATCGTAGAACTACCACCTTTCTGGAACAAAAACCTTCCGGGGGGCTGATAAACGGAGCCGAATTAAAGCAGACAAAATCTACATAGAAATAGAACAAAAATGGTGATAGTAGTAAGATTAAGTAGCATTCTAACGACCATAGATCCTGAATTTAGCACGATAAGAATGGTTCGTAGCAAGGCATAAAAATTAGGTCATCCTAATGGCGGATCCCGCTATTTAACGAACGGGCAGCCTGCTTCGCCTTGGTATGTATGTGGGATACATTTTAAGGATTCACCTCTTCACAATATCATTAAACACTACTACTAACAGCCGCACTGCCAACAGACGACAATAGCCAGGTCACAGGGTGAACAGAAGTTACATAACGAAACAGAAAGGTTTATGTAACCAACAAAAAGCAGACCTTATGAAGACCAAAACTTTCCTCACACATTTCTAATAAAATGTCTTAATGTCACTCGATCAAATGTACCGGTACACAATGACAAAGTAGCGAAACGGCAAAATGGGACAAAAAAGAGCTTCAGACATTCCATCAAAAAAATAATCGATCGGATAATCGAATATCTCGTGAAACGCATGATTATTCCATAGAAAAAGAGGAACAATCGTTTGATATTCGATCGTCCAAATTGGACGCCACAAATACGATTTTGTTCGTAATACCTGTGCCCTTATTTCCCAAGAAACACGTGTCTTGTGGCCTTAAAGCACCCCGTCCATTGGTGGATGTTACCTAAAGCTACCCCCTGATTGGTCGATGGATTAGATAACCACGTGGTGTCCTGGTATATAACCAAGGGTGAACCAAGAGGGTATCGGCAGTTGTGCACGGAACATGGAGAGAAAAGTGCGATCAATTTTTTCATTAACTTTCGTCCACTTTCGATCGCGTAGTGATAACGAAACGATTCCACGAGGATCGTCGATCAAGTGCCCTTACCTGGACATTCTACCTCGAATTTATTCATCGTCAAATCATACAACACTCTCAGTGAGACAGAGCACAAGCCTGGAGAACTCGAATTTCCATACTTTGCGTGGATTAAATGTAACAAATCGACAAAGTGAGTGGAGCGGTACCACCGAACCAGCTGGAGCACCGTGTAAACCGACGGGACTGTGCAAATACCGGAGATATCTTTGATCTTGGAACAACTTCGAAGAGGATATTTAACGTAAATTAAGATACCAAAGCTACGATAAAGTTTCTGTAACGTCAGAATTGCTGGGACAGTGTATCTTCGACGGAACATCGTTAAGGATTGTAGCACTTGGCTGGAAAAAAGATCTAGAACGAACGTTTAGGATCTATCGTAGGGAAAAATGAACTTGATCGGATAAATTGGCGAGGATAACGAATGGAAGGGGACATAACTACGATGTGTAGAAACCGTGGTAAGTTCAACGTAGAAATGCACGGATAGGAAGATCGAAGGCGATGAATTTTGTATGGGAACTGAGCCTTTCTATAGAACCGCCATATGTCCGGTCCCAACGAGTTATCTTAGAACGGATATACTTACCGTGTGTTTGCACGGATTTTATTGTGGAAAATATGTCAGTAGATACGATTGATTTTTTAGAAGAACTACTTCTTGAAACTGATCGCAATCTTCGTTAGATATTTTGATAAACACTTTGTCTTGTCTTATGAAAAGCTCTGCCAGGTACGACAATCAAGAATTTCTTGGAAGGCAAGTACCTAGCTAGTAAAGAGAGCTTGCATCTGAAGGGACGGAGGTGATATTTTGGAAAGATTTAAAGAGACCATGGTTAATAGAGAATGTAAAAGAAGATGGACTACTTCGTGATAAAAGACACCGCCTGACCAAGTTGAGACTTTACTCAATCGTTCAACGACGCTCATACATACTTTACTACTTGGTATCCTACTTTCTTAAACCTGCTAATGGCTGCGAGAAAGGAGGAATTAAGTAGTAGTGATCTAGAGAGGCGATAGCGCTAACTCTATCGACTAGATTTTGTTAAACAAGAATTATTTTCGCGATTGAAATTAACATTAAAAGCACTTTATTGCTTCTAATTTCACTAATATTCACTAGTAAAGTTGGACAGTTGTAAGAAAAGCGATAGCGCTACTTCTAACGTCCAGCATTTTTTACGTTGACAAAATATATTTCTGCGATCAAACTTAATGTTATTAAAGTGAACGTCATAATGTAAGTAAACTTTTCAAGGCTACCTCTGATGGATACTATTTTCACCAGTCTTTTGCAATATGAAAATTTAAAAACAACTACTATTTGAGAGAAGATTATAAGTGTAAAGAGAAAAGTGATAATGGACCCCAGTGCAGCTGCTGGCCACTGCACAAGATTAGACATAAGACTCTTGTGCGTGTGACAGCGGCTATGATGGGGCTTCCACGAGGCTTCGACGAAACCTATATCCTTTCGAGGTGACAACTGAAACCTCGAAACGAATGCGACACCTCGGATCATCGATATTCACCTATTTGTTAAAAAATCGTACCGAAAATGTAATGTTTTGTACTTAAAAAGTGGTACCCCCTGGTAGTACAGTAACAGTCTGAAGTAATTGACTATAATGAAATAACTATTTCTGATACTAAATATGTAAGTATGTAGAGTTGTTAAAATATAAAACATTAGTTAAACAATTGGCGTGTCATCATTTGAATAAAAAATGGTAGTAATAAACAATAATGTATGCTGATATTTTCTTAAGCATGAAAATAGAATTTTAAATGCAGTTTTGTTTCCTATATACTGTTTTACCCTGAATATTTCATGTATTCTGTCAGAATGGCATGCAGATTAATAAAAAATGAAAGTTTACTTGTTGAGAAGCAATTCATCCACTCTTTAATTCATCATCAATTCATTCGCTCTTCCAATCTGATCTTTTAATTATAGTAACTGCGCTTGTTGATGACCTTCTTGTTATTTAGGATCTTGTTGAGACTTCTCTTGACTTAAAAATATTAGAATATTTAATATTCCTGATTCATACAAAATGGCGCAACACGCATACACGCGCACACACACAACACGTACAAACGGGTATGTATCTCCATAACCTCTCATTACTGATTAAATCTTTCCACTTTCTGTAATGAACCAATAAGTTACATTAATACATTTGACAAATAACATTAAAACCAGAAAAACTGAACACAATTCCATGATAAAATTTCAGTATCAAGCAACTTTATATAAACATTGACAAAACCTCAATATGAATAAATTGACACTGATACCAATACTTCAACAAAATATAAATGTAAACGTAAATAAGATTATAATAAAAAAAGTTATAATTAAACATACAATTACGTACACACTAATTAAAATTATCAAACCACATTTTTATTATAATTTATCCGGAACCTGTCATGCATTCGAGTTACTCTACCCGCGTTTCTAAACATATCCAAACCTAAACTGCGTTGAACCGTGCTTTCCTATTGGTTTAAAACAATCAAAATGGAATAAACGAGTAACCATATAAGAAGGGTTTTAGAACGTACATTATTCAACCAGCGTTTTTTAAATTAAGATACTTACACAGGAAAGCATTTGAAATCTATAATGAAAAATATAAATTTAAAAACATCGTATATTATTCAAAACTCAGAAGTTTTAAGAATCCAAAGTTAGTGAAACGAAAAGATTCGTGAAATTCAATCACAACTTATACGCAAATAAAATTCTATCGATTCTAATAGGAAATCCAGAAGACTTACTTTATCAAGCCAAATTAAATGACATTAATTACATTTTCCTGTTTGTCAGTGAATCATATTTATACCCAAGGTCATAAATTCCAAACGTACGATTTTGATAAAAGTTGTGCTCCCGCGCTTGCGTAAAGCGCTATTCCGTATTAGCCATCTATACTTGGTGCAGTATGTTTTGAAAGAGCAAGAGGGACTCATGGTTCTCTCGTGTACATTGTAAATTAACACGAGACTAGTGTCACTTATTGCTTTGGTGCATTTTTGTGTTTCATCTTATCAGAGTACATCTTGACACAGGACATCATGAGTTTGGTCAGACAAAATTTTCACGAGGATTGCGAGCTTGCCCTCAACAGGCAAATCAATTTGGAACTGTATGCAAGTTACGTCTACCTGTCTATGGTTAGTCGACGTATCGATTGACTACCTATTTTTAACGTTTGCACTTTTCTCCGGCGTTGATATTCAAATAAAAACAAAATAGAAAAAGCAACGAACATTCAATTTTATTCCCGTTTCTCTCTCCTCCACATACTTCCTCAAAATATCCTTCAATTTCTTGATCGTTCTTACTTTATTTCAGGCTTATTATTTCGACAGAAGCGATGTCGCTCTGCCAGGTCTTCACAAATATTTTAAAAAATCATCAGACGACGAAAGAGAACACGCTATGAAATTTATGAATTATCAGAACAAAAGAGGTGGCTGCATTATTTTGACAGAGATCGAAAGTCCGTCAAAGAATGACTGGCTTTCAGCTAAAGATGCCATGTCAGAAGCATTAGATCTGGAGAAGAGAGTTAACGAGGTATGTCATAAGAATTTCTGTCATTAAAATAGCAATTAATTTTCAATTTATCACTGCAGTCATTTAGAAGTAATGCATATATTATGTTCTTATGAGTTACCTCTGTATGTTACAGTATATATTTTTAACCTTGTTCTACTTGTTAGTTCAATTAACATAGGTTTAGTAATTATTTATGACGTTTTACTTCAGTATTTGAAATGTACTGTTTTAAACACTCTTCTTTCAAGTGGGGGTGTAACTCAGTGGTAGAGTGTCCGCTTCGCATGCGGAAAGTCCTGGGTTCAAATCCCAGCTCCTCCAACCTCTCTTTTTTTTCATGTTTCTTATTTTATCACTTCACAATTAATACATCTTATATCGCCAGTGTAATATTTTTAAATAAACAATGTTTTTATTAATAAATTTATTTCGTTTCAGAGTCTCTTGGAGTTACATGCTCTTGCATCATCTCACAATGACCAGAACTTCTTAGATTTCTTGGAAACGGAATATTTACAAGAACAAGTGGACTCCATCAAGGAAATTGCCGATCATGTTACGAATTTGGAACGAGTTGGTGAAGGACTTGGAGTATACATTTTCGACAGAGAACTCAATGAATAAAATATTCTTTATTCATAATTTTCATAATTATAATATAATTATGAATTTTCATAAGATTCATAATAACGAAAGCAAGAAAACAATGTGGTAATTTAGATAAGGGGAAAAATATTGCATTTAGATTGTTTCTATTCATTGCATAATTGCATTTGAAAGGACTTTCCCGTCAATCTAATGCATACTTCCTAGAATACCATTACAGATTGTTAATTCCAAATTAAATTAGTAGTTTTTAACGCGTTATTAGATTTAATGAATATTGCGATGTACTGCGCATCATTCGTAATAAAGGTTGATAATTCTGCTTGCGTAGTGTTTACTTACGCCCATTCAACAATGCTGATTAAATGTTGAAGCTAAAACCGTCAACTAAAACTAAAAACATTCGATACCACATGCATTCACGATATCGTATCGAAAAGGAAAAGAAACAATTACGAATCGACACCCCATGACATCTAAATCGTTTTGTAATTAACAGTGTTATTTACAGAACATGTATATAAATTGTAAGTAAACTAAAAGCAAACATGTTGAGGTCATTCTACTGTAGAATAATTCTTGGCAACATATCGCATCCACGTTTTCGGCAATTATACAATACAAAGTAAGTTACTGCGTAATCGGCGAACCAAATTTATCGGTACAACATAATGATTTGACAAAAATGACTAATATTTTTTGAGAACATGTAAATCACAGCATTCGCTCCATTGGCATAAATTTGACAAACAAAAATGTCGACTTTTGTCATCGAGTACGGGCAAAACGTCCGAACAATTTTGCATCGATAAACCGATGAAATGGCCAAGTGGAAAACCAGCAAATTATAAATTTCACGAGGATACCGAGAATGTTTTAAACGAACAAATAAACTCTGAATTAAAAGCTTTTTATTACTATCTGTCTATGGTAAGATTAAAATACTTTAGTGTACTTTGTTCGATATTTGATATAAAAACGAATTGTTTTTCATAGGCTGCATACTTCGGACGCGCTGATGTAGCGTTACCCGGTTGTGAATCATTTTTCATTCAAATGCATCACGAAGAACATGAGCATGCTCTCAGGTTTCTAAATTATGTTCAAATGCGCGGGGGACGTGTACATTTATGTCCGGTTCTGCCCCCCACTGACCAAGATTGGAAATGTCCTCTGCACGCGTTTAAAGTAAATATATCATATGTCTCTAATAATACACGATTTCTCAAACAAAGATAGTAAACGTTTTAAATCGTTTCACTTATCACCAGCATTATGAATTTATTATTACGCAGTGGCCTATTCTTTCGTTTTGGGCCATACATACATACTCTATGTTAAATAAATATTTATGAATCGTGATCGAAATATCTTCATATAAAATATTGTAACACTTAATACAATGTTTTAATGAACACCCGATATATGATTCATAGATCAATTTTCACCGTATATATTAGAAACGTATAATCGTATTCAACTATACGATTACTACATAATAATTAAACAGTTAATTACCAATGCAAAAATTTCTTTAGAAAGCATTGGAATTAGAGATTGAAGTAACCGAAAAGCTGGTAGCGGTAAATACTGTGGCGGAGAAACATGGCGATTTAAATGCAAGTGATTTTATTGTTACCGGTTTTATGGAAGACCAAATGAAAAGCGTGAATGAAATGGGAAGATTTGTGGCTGTCTTGTCTGGAATTGGTGATCAGGCGTTGGCACGTTTTATGTTTGATAAAGATTTACTCGACAGTCACGTTGTACCGAAATTTAATGTTATCCGCACCAAATTTCATACAAACAAAACAAGCAGCACTTCCGTTTCCATGTAAAATTATGCGGGAACGCGTAATCGTTTTAATGACGTATATTGTAACGTTTGTTAATTACCATCTTCTCTTTGATTTAATACAAATAAAACTATATATATAATGAATTATACCGAATAGGGTTCTTAATTATATACATGATACATATTTAAAATAGAATATAATACTATGATGTTTGTTGGAAACTTCATAATGCTCTTTTAAGACTTTGCGCGCGATTCAAATTTGAAGTTAACCTAGCGCAAGAATATATTAATGGAAGATTATTAATAGATACTGTAGTTAATGAAAGATGTTATTAAAATATTAAATATACAACTAAAATTTTAGACGTGTTAAGAAAACAACCGCCTACTATTATATGAAAGTAATCGTCTTATTTTAGAACACGTCCCTTTTAGTGAATACCAGCCGTCTCATGTCATATGTTGAATACGACTGAATACGACATAGCATGGCGGAGTTGTTGCATGCATTTGATCGTGAAGATAGAACTACTTCAAAGAAGACATCGTGGCGTATGAGTTATTCGTATTTTATATTGGAATCAATATTTATACTTGATTAAAGCTTAATTCGTTTTGTATTCAGAAAAATAGAGAAATCTTTAACGTAAATTCATTCATTAAAAAGAATGTGCGTGTGTCACGTTTAGTTTAGTGAAGAATCAGAATTATTGTTAGCGCGTAATTAACTCTATTTTCATGTAACCATATTTTTTAAATTGCAAAAATATCTGTCTTAATTGTTACGAATGGACGCGATTAATTATCGTATTGAGGGTAAGTCTAAGAATGGCTAGCGATTTATCGAGTGAGTGTACTGAAACAATTGGAGTGCTAGATGAGAAAGAAGAAGGTGAAATATCCTTGGAAGATGTAAGTTCTTCCGAGGAAGGACACTTAAATTATGGATATGGAGCTAGAGTTTCTCAGTGTTCTAACTGTTTATCAACACAACATAATGCAGCATGGTGCACTGCTTCTGCCAAATTTTATCCTTCCAAAGGCTCTTCAAATAGAAGAGGTAAATTTAATACTAAGATTCGTTTTTACTGTTTTTACATATTACAGTTATTAACAATATATTAGTATCAAGAACTTAATATACTTTAGTTTTTAACTTATTGTATATGATTTTATATTACTTGTTTTTTTTCATAATTTTTTTTTAATAATGAATTCCAATTATTATATTAAAAATCTTCTTTTATTCCCATGTCCCCTATAATATTTTATCTTATTTTATTGTATAAATATTATTTACCATGTATTGAATTTTTATGCACACTTTATTATCATTTTCGACATATCATGTTCTAACCAAGTAGAAGTTGACCTTATTCTACAAGATGCAGTCCAGGGAAAAGAAAACCGTCATCAGATCAAAGAATCAGGATGCATTGGAACAAAACATCCAGTTTCTACTCTTCAAGAAAAAAATGATGATGATCTTGTGCCTATTTCAAGCGACAGTGATATGGAAATTGTTGGTCTTGCAGATAATTCTAAGCAAATTGTAATATATACTTCCTCAAAAAGTAGAGCAAAAAAGAAAAAAAAGAAGAAAAGAAATCATGCACCTGTAATGACAGTGGATGATTTAGTTTCTGCATCTACTGTGGATGTGACTGTGCCTGCAGATATCAGTATATTAAAGCATGATGCAACAAAAAATAATTCTTCAAGATCTCATCATAGAGAAATAAGTCCTGTTCATAAAACTAGTAGATCAAGAGTGATTTCAAGATCACCTCCCAGAAGGCATAGGTCCCTTATAAGAGCACGTTCTCCATTCAGAAGATCGAAATCTCCAATTGTTCGTGCTAGATCACCATTAAGGAGATCTCCAAGAAGACTTAAATCTCCTAAAAGATCACCATACAGATCATCAGGGAAAACAATACCAAGAAAAACATCACATCCTGAGGCAGTGTCTTCATCTCATAACTATGTAGATACACATAAACTCCTTAAAAAAGTCAGAAAACTAGATTCAATAGGAACACATTCTCTGGAAGAGACACTAAATAAAAACAAGGAACATGCATCTTCATTAAAGGAAAAATTAACAAATATGTTGAAAGGAGTTCCTGACAATAATAGTGATGTAACAAAGGATAAACTTACTAATTATGTAAACAAGAATGAACTTAATGATGTAGATGACGAAGAGGATTTAGCACTACTAAGACAGAAAGCACTTGAGACAAAACAGAATAAATCAAGTAAACCTAATGATCAACCAAAGACTGAGAGTGGAAAAAAAGTAAATGCAAATATAAATGATGATCAAGATGAGGAGGATTTAGAATTGAGGATGATTGCACTTCGTTCTGCAGTGCTAAAGAAACATCAAAATAGGGTTCAGAAGGGTATGAAGTCAGGAACATACAAGAAATCTAAGATTTCTCGTAGTGAGAGTCCATTCAGTCAAAGTTTTTTGGATAGTATTCCCATACCTGGAGAGGAATTGTCAAATTTTGCGTCTCCACCTCATACACCACTTCCTATGAATGAAAATAATCACACTGAAGACATGGAATTAGATACAGATGTTGAGAGAGAAAAGGAAAAATTGCCATATTCTCCAACAGATAAAATTACTGCCAATATACCTATGGATACAGAATTATTAGGTATTCAGCCATCTGATGTATCATTCATCAATCTCAATGCAGTAAATAATAGTCCAGGTTTTAATGTATCTATGGTACCTAGTCATGATAGTCAGACACCCTACCAAGGAAAAATTATTGAAAACCGAAGTTACTTACCAAATGTTGTATATTATACACCTTTGCAAAATTCGATATGTGCAACAACAAATGCGAATATACAATATCCTACAACTGATCAGATACAGACCTCCAAATCAGATTTTATGAAAGTACATACCTCTCATTTAAGTGAGCAGCATTATGGAAATGCGTGTAATGTTTTGAAAAGTAATATTTCCGAATTTGCAGATATCAATTCAAGTCAAGAAATGCCTTACTCTCCAACTGATACTCCTGTATATGATCCTGATCTATCACATGCACTTCCACAAACTCCTGGTCCTGATTCTTCCTTAGTTTGTTTGGAATCTTATAATTCCAATATACATGGAAATAGTGAACAAGGTAGTCATGTATTAACGACACAACAAACACAAACTTCAAAAGAAGCAAATAGTTTAACTGAAAATGAACAACTAAATAAGGCAGAAACACTTTCTATAGAACCAATTGTTGGCTCTGCTACAACTTCCCTTATGGAATCAGTGTCACCCAGTAGTTCAATGGTAACAATTGATGATTTTCCTGAAACTGATGCAGATGCAAGCCCAATGACTGATTTAATTACAAAAAGTAAAACTACAGAGAACATTCCAAATAATTTAAACAATATCAAAGGAACAATGTCAGAGCCACTTTATATGAAAGGAATACCAGATATTACCAAAGATGCAAATAAAATACCAACATTAATTAATAGAACACTTGTTCCAGCACCAATTTTAAAAACTAATAAACAGTTGCAACAACCATTGTCTGTAAAAAAGAGTATTACACAACAGGAACCTACATTTAAAAGTGCAGAAATGCAACCAGTCATTATTAATGAAGAAACTACTACAAAGACAAATACCGCCTTTAAACCAATGAAATTAATGTCTTTCCCACAAAAATCCCATTCTGTTTTAGCAATACCTACTGTATTTCATGAGTCATTGCTTGATGAGTCAATTGATGAAACAGATAAAAATATCTCCTTAATAGAAGATAATCAGAATGTAATACATGATACTACCACTACAAATACAGAAGACTTAAATAATACTTGTGATACTAAAAGTTCAACACAGAAGAAAAAGAAGCATATAAGAAGGGGACAAAAGCGAAAAAGTGCTGGTTCAATATCATTGGCCACTAAGAAAACTGCACCATGTAAAAATAATGACAATACAAATATAAATAAAAAGATACGTCAGACATCTGATATTATTCATTCTGATAATAAACAAAATAATGAAAAAGTTGAAAAACCAGGTGCAAAAGATATTACAATTGAACCTATTTCAGAAGCTTCAGGAAATGTTGCTAATCATAAGAGTATAATTTCGCCAGAAAAAACTGAAGTAATACCAACTAGAGATATCTTATCTAATGAGGCATTACAGGAAATTAAAAATGCAGAAAATAGAAGAGAAAGTTTAGATGAAGATGAAGAAGCATTAAGAGCATCTCTGTTAGCTTCTTTACCAAAACGAACAAAACCAAGTAATAATGATCCAAATTCAGCTGCAACTACAGTAGTATCTGTTACATCAACTCGAGCGCTTGCTAATCAAACTGAACCAAAAATTACATTGCCTATGGTTAACACATCTAGTACAATAATCAGAAATAGTACAACATGTTTGATAAATTCATATAGTTCAGAAAATGATAAAAATCAATCAAATTCAAGGGACAAAATAGACAACACAATCCCACAAGGAAGTATATCTGCTGCACTTGTAAAAACTTTAGGCCAACCAGTGACTTCTGGGAGGAAGAGATCACTTACTATAACTAAGGGCTCACAAAAGAAACTTATGAAAAGAATTGCAATTCCTGCAAGTACAAAAGTTGTAAATAATGCAAAGAAATATCAAAATACAATGCTTCAGAAGAAATTAAATTTACAAAAAGCAGTTTACAATAAACAAAAAATAACAGAAAATAAAATTACGTCTAAAGTGCAATCTAATGACACCAAATGGTCTACCAGTACAAAGGCGTTATCTGAAACGCAAAGAATTGTTATAAATTTGGGATCCGACTCCGAAAGTGATTCCGAATCTGAACGACAAAAGAACAAATCTACTTCAACAACCAATTCACCCACAGTAGACAAATCACAATCTGTAACAAATTCTACAGCAGAATTTGAGAAAAATTTAGAACAATTTTTACGAGATGTACGAAAAAAGCAAGAATCTATGGCAGCTGCAAGACCAACTTCAATATCACAAACCCCCAAAAAAGATACAGTATTAAATACTAAATCAGAACAATCAAATTCATCCAATCTTCATACACCACTGGTAAGAATCCTACAAGAAAATTTATTTTTAACTAATA